AAACAGCGTTTGTAGGGGAGGAATCCACTACAATAATAATAACAACAATAATAATAAAGAAATAAAAAAATAAAAAAAAAGATCAAAAGTGAGAAACAATACTGTACTGTATATGTAGGTTGTGTTGCCAATAGTAAGAGACCCTACAATTGTGTGTAAATGAGGCAAAGTCAGATCACCAATCTGGGACTTGGTCACAATTTTCGTGATGCCAGATGGCAGCAGGGTCTACCATTAGTCAACACTTATGCTGCCAATATCTTCCCAGGTGGTAGTACCTCCCTGTTTGGTAGCTGCCTACTACCTACTTAAAACTCTTATCCACATACGAGAAATGATACCAAACAATTACCTGGACTAGTAAGATCAGATTATTGTCATTCAACAAAGCATTAAAACCCAGTGCATCTTAAACCCTAGAGATATTTATAGATATTGTATAAATTATAGAAACATCATAAAATAGCGTCAAAATTGGGTTTCATAAATTCAGTGGGGGTTCGGTGTTAATTCTGTGGCATATTCAAATAGCGCATATACTATTTGTTTAATGTTAACTTTTATATTATAAGAGATTTTAATTCAGTGAGACAATTTTTAAAGACAAAATTAAATGCTTTAAATAGTAAACATCTGTAAACGAAAGATTCTCGTTACCCATTTATTTCCGCGCTCCTGATTGGTCGATTCAAAAGTAGTTGGCTATAGTATTATTAGTGAGAGCTCCTCCGTAAGTTGGTGTTTTCGTCGTATTTATGAGTATTTACGGTTAACCATCGAGCTAGGAGGAAGTAGTAAGTATGTGGTAATATGTTGTTAAAGGTCTAATTGTCCCAGTCGTCGAGAATTACTTGATTTAGACAATAGTTCTTCGGGTGTTTTGGAGGCTGTCCGTCATTGTTTATATACCCTAACGTAGTTGTTTAAATCGCTATGCTAATTTCATAGGTGAATTTTATATAGTTTTAAGGATTTACTTGTCAACACTTATTTCTGAATTATATTTTGATTGAAGAGTATCCTGCATTATTTTCGGACGGTGTTAAATGGCCAGATCTCTTGACAAGTTGTTACGGAACCTCAGTGAAATTATTGTCTCAGGCCAAGACAAAATAAACTGAGGAATAATACTGAAAAAGATTTGAAAACGTTTCAGCTTTGGCTTGAGTTATCCTGGCAGAATACAGCAAAGAGTGAGTGAATGATTCTGGTGTGTGAGTTTGTAACCGCCTGATGTGGGAAGAACAATTTGAGAATTATGGATTTTAATATTGACTGTTACTATGTACGTACCTACGAATTTGGAACTTATTTGACTTGTATTTGATGAATTAATCACAAATATTCCAATGGAATTTGATAATATAAAGGCAGTGGATATTTTGCTGTGACAGGCTAAGTTCCTACTAATGCTGTTTTACCATGAGTGGTCTGATTGGCTAATAAAATATAAAATCTAAACGAAAATGCACAGAACCCGGTCCAACGAATTACCCAAAAGTACCCAAAAGTATATTAAATCATATATGTTTTACATCAATAAAACCTGATTAATAATGTTTTCATTGAAATGTAGTCAAAATAATGAAATAATAAATAGCGAAAAATGCTAAATTCCAAAGAGTCGCCTATCCAAAATGGAGATGTAATTACCGATGTTTCTGTTACTTTGGGGTATTTAACATAGCCTAGGATTTACTTTTTGTTGGGTTAGGTTAGGTTAGCGAAGTGCATCACGATGGATCTGAGTTATCTCCTTTGTTCACGAACTCTTTGGAATTTAGCGTTCGCCAATACTGAAAGTTTTTCGCTGTTTATTATTTCATCTTACAAATTATTTTTACAAAATTACACTAAAAATATTATTAAACATGTTTTGTGTATGTATAACAGATATTCGTTAAGATTTTACCCTTATTTGCTATACTTTGGGGTACTTTTGTGGCTCCCCACAGAACCTATTAGAACCTAACCTAACCTAACCTAACCTCACCTAATTTCCTAGACTGCGCATTGTCATTTTTCTAATATAATCCAAACAACGTCCTTAGAAAAAATAAATGTAGTGGATATTTCACCATTTTGTTCACCGGTAATGGACAATTAGCCAATCAGAGCACACACGGTAAAATTATCGTTTCGGTCATCCACCTACAGAGTATTTGGAAGTAAGTCAGAATCAGGTAAATTTATAGTACTTCACACAACTCTGTTAAAAAGTAAAAAAATATGTTTTTCTAGTGTTTTTTTATTTTTTCCATGACTGATTTTCGTCGGAAATTGCCTGTTTTATATATATATATATATATATATATATATATATATATATATATATATATATATATATATATATATATATATATCTTATATATATATATATATATATATATATATATATATATATATATATATATATATATATATATATATATATAAATATATATAAATATATATATATATATATATATAAATATATATATATATATATATATATATATATATATATATATATATATATATATATATATATATATATATATATATATATATATATATATATATATATATATATATATATATATATATATATATATATATATATATCCCCAACAAGATAAGGGATCCTGTTGGAAACTGGGGTTTTGGCTGGGGGAGAGAAACAAGCGTTTTTCTGACAAATCATGGCCAAGTGGGGAAAAAAATAGAACAGTACGGTAATACCAAAATAGTGCTAGTAGGAACTTAGCTGGTCAAGGAAAAATATCCACTGCATAATATACAGTAAATCACAGTCAAACTAAATACTATATTGAAATGATCTGAAGGTATATTTTTATTTTCGGACTACATGGGAATCTAAGGAATTTGATCTTTGCAAACACTGGACAATTCTAAGACAGTTTTCTTGTATGACATTTCCCTCATAGATGACTTCTCCAAACCAGGGGGCTCTGCTCTCCTGCATCCCTGGCATATATAAGTCGTTTGCCAATAGTAAAGGGAAAAATTCCTAAGATTCTCATGTTGTCCAAAACAAATAATACCTGACCGAAAAAAAAAAGCTTTGGGTAAGTTAATTTGGTACAATTTACGTTTGATGAATTATATAATATAGCAGCTTCTGGTACTTCAGAAAATTCCCAGTCCTGCCAAATGTCAAAAAGGGCCCTCATGATTTTACGCCCTTTAAATTCAAGATTACACAAGTTAGTGTGGACTTTGGGAGTGATCTGAAAAATATATGATTTGTCATATAAAGTTAGATTAGGTTAGGTCCTTTTCATTATTTAGGAAGACCCTATAATACAGTATGTACTGTATGTTCCAAAAACATACTCAGTTTTAGGTTAAGGAGACAGTTACCACCTTATTTCCTGATACTGTATGTTTGTTTTATGGAGCTGTTAGAGATGTTTTTGTTAAAATATTTAAAATATTGTAGGAGAGAAAGAAAAAGAAGCAATAATGTAGACTTACAAAAATAGTACTCATGGTATTCCAACTGAATGTTAAAGTCATGTCTCAAACACTCACTCATCGATGCTTGGAACTAGACCACTAATTACTTCTGCCTATACAATATGCACCATTCAACCACAACCAAACTTGTATTACCTGAAAAATAATCAAATATTGATAGGTCAAGTGGGGTTTGTTAGTTTTTTATTATTATACCTGCTGTCATTCAATATTAAGCCTTTTTGCGAAATCAGTGATTACAAAACTGACACCTTAGGGTAACTTGTTATTATTTTTGTAAGATTAAACTTTTTTTCTTTAGCACTGGATGTGCATTATGTAGGCTAAAACACATCTCATGATTCCACAGAAAATATTATGATTTAAAGTGGTTACTACCATTTTGTCACCCCAACCTTCTCTCTCTCCTAACCTTTCAAATAAAACAGTAAAATGCATTGTAAAATTACCCAACAGGTTATACAAAAATGTATGAGCATAATCGTAAGGTGTGTACAGTACAGTATACATAACTGTAATCACTTTTTACTCTAACACTGATTTAACGGTATTCTTGGCTGATTATATGCTGGTACATTATTACACAACACAGGTTGTATGCAAAAAAAGCAGTGAGCAAGTGAACAAACTTGTACAATGACAAGCAGACAATGAACTAAGAGTTTGAGGAGATAGGCTGCAAAATACAGCAGTCAACCATAGGCATCCCATGCAGTCACATGACAGTAGTGGTCAATCGTAGCTCACAAATGCTCTGAACCTACCCACCCATGCACATGGCACGCATCCCTGTGGTGGAAACTGGGGTAGTGATCCGCTAGCCTTGGATAGTCCAAAGGCAATGTAATGCTTGTCAGTTTCTATCAAATAAACTTCACTAATACTCTTGTAGACATACTACAGTAGAACGTCAATTTAACACGAGATACGTTCAAAGAGAGGTTGCTTTAAATTGAATTCGCACTAAATCAAAGTGCTGTTTTAAAGGAACAATTTAGTTTGGTGCTTGAGAGAAACACAAAATAATAAAAGGACTTTTGTTAACTAATAAATATGAAAAAAAATATATGCCATAATGATATACTGTATATACAGCAAGCACTCCCTGCAGTCAAGTTAAGAGCTGGACGGTACTGTTGCTGCGTGGTACTGTACTACACTACTTTCTGCTGCTTCGTGTCACTGGCCCTTCCCCTGCATTTTCACTTTCCTCTCAACTTAGTTTTTCATTACTTATCCTATCAAAAATAGATTTTCACCCACCTTTAGTTAGGCAAGTCATCCTGTGAAGATGCAGTGCCCAAGTCAGCCAGCTCATCATCCACATCACTGTCTAGTGGTGTGGCTGTGGAGGCACCTGACACGCGGGAAGCACTGGGTGACGGCCATGTCTGCCCAGATGTAGATGGGCCAGTTAATAATGTAGTGGCTGGCCTCTTGGACATAGTGGCGATGGTTGATGCATGTGGTGGAAGGAGAGTGTCACACTGTATATTCTTTCACTAGAGTGTCAGCGTGAGAACTGAGGATGTGGGTGGGTGGCGGGCAGCCTTGTAGCGTGCCCAGAGAGGCGTCTGACGCGAAACTTAAAGTATTGTGTATTTCCCTATGACACTCCAGATTTGACTCGCGTAAATTAGGAAAGATTCGCTTTAAATTAATACTTTGTCCTTAATTGTGGGTGTCACTTTAAATCAATAACTTTAAATCGATTCACGTTAAATCGACGTTCTACTGTGTTACTGATTAGAGACCAAGCGTAAACCTAAGCAAGGGATCCTCCTGGAGATAAGCACCTGACTGCTTTGCTATCCTTGTTGAAGTTACATTACTGTTTTCCATTGTTGTTTACCTACACTCATGACACACAGGAAACTGTATACAGTACTCCCACAGCCTACATGTACTAATATACACTGTACCTGCATTGTCTATATTCATGCTGCACTGCATGCAGTGTAATATCTCCATTAGCCGAATCCCTCTTAACTGGAACTCTCTGATAGCCCTCGGTATTGAAACTATGGGAACTAGTATATACAGTGTTGGGAGGTCAACTGTGTATGACATTAAAAAGGAAAAAGGAACAATTGCTGAAGAATTATGCACACAGTGTCACTAAGGAAGCAATAACAATATGTAAGCATATGAAATAAGGAAAAAGTGGGGAACTTGATAAATGCCTGATACAGTGGTTTCATCAGCATAGGAATAATGTTTTTAAACTTGCAGGTGAAAATATTATTCAGCAGGCCAAGAAGTTCCATGAGAAAGTTAATTTGCAACATGAGTGGGTAAATTCATTTGGATTGATTAATTACCAAAGTATATGTACATATACCCTGTAGTATACAGTACATGTATATACAAGCTTAATGTCATGTCTGTGATTCGTGCCATCCCATACTTGCTGTTAAATTGAAGCACAACCTGTACATGTTTTAGTATTTTTATTTTTATTTATTTTTCAGAAAATGGAAGCTACTGACAACTTTCTCTGTCTTTATCAGAATGTACAAGAAAAATGTTTAGAAGCACTTAACAAGTTTGAGGTAAGATTTTTATGCTTCATATGTAATTTTTTTTAGATTTGATATTAATCAGTCCTCGTGGCCAAAGCAAAGGACTCGCATGGAAATCTTATGGTGATTGTGTGGCTAACCTTGGTTAAATCAACTTACCTTTGTTTGTATACCTGCACTGTCCATGTACTGTACTACATGCAGAATGAATTTGAACTTGTATGACAATTGTACTGAAGAGACATCTATCTACCCGGTATCTCTTGTGTAAAGTGCATCTGTAGGGAGACCATCTAAGGAAATCACTGTACAGAACTCGACTGCCTGTACTGTATTGGGTGAGTTTGTGGGAGTGCCAGCAAAACACAGTGTGGAGATGGTGAATTGACAATCTTTTATTAACATGTATTCTCAGGAAAATACCTACACTGTTTCTGGCTCGCCTGGGGACTAAATTTGGAAAAAAAGAGAGTATATATATATATATATATATATATATATATATATATATATATATATATATATATATATATATATATATATATATATATATATATATATATATATATATATATATATATATCTATCTATCTATCTATCTATCTATCTATTCATATCTATCTATCTATCTATCTACATCTATCTATCTATCTATCTATCTATCTATCTATCTATCTATCTATCTAATTCATCTATCTATCTATCTATCTATCTATCTATTCATTCTATATATATATATATATATATATATATATATATATATATATATATATATATATATATATATATATATATATTGAGGGATTCTTCTTTTTCTTTTATTCAGGAACATTTCTTGTGGTTAGAAGAGGTAACCGCTAATGCCCGTCAGTTGTTTTCCTCCACTGATCCAACTCTCTTGCCCAAGACCCCTCTGGGCAAAAAGAAATCTCGACTAAAGAAACCTCGTCACTCATCAATTGCAGGTGAGATTTTTTATGGGAATCCTTGGGAATTGTCTCTGGTTTTTAATAAATTATGGTTTATTTAATTTACATTCATACAATTAAAAAACTGATACAGTAGGTTCAGTGAAAAAAATATTCAAGATAGAAAGTACAGTACTGTACAGTAGAACCTTGTTATTTCCAACTCGGCTAATACAGATTTTGCCTAATTCAAACTTTTCTCAAGCATGAACAGATAATTTCTACTTCGAACCAATTGCCTATGTTCAATTTATATCATCCTGATTTGAACCTAACCAAATTAAGGCCAAAATTCCAGCCACGGTGCAGCCACTAATAGAAAGTCAGTTGGCACTTACACGCTGCTGTAAAAATCTGTTGTTGATCAATCCAAGTACAGTCCTATTAGCTTTGCAAATTAATGATGCGTTCAAATGAGGAAAATTCAGAGGAAAATATAAATCTCTAAGCACAACAGGCAAACTGAAAAATATTCAAGAACTTGAGCAATAAAACCAATAAACACCACAGTTGTTACATGCATTTTTATCCATGTCTTGCTTACCGTACCCCTAGATCTCTACCATATCGTCAAAAAATCGCCTGCAGGTTACAGGGTGTTTCATGGTTGTTATCCCACATTTAGCAATAATTTTACTCGAACGTTAGGTTTTCAAAATGAGGGATACAGTGAGTTCTGCTATAACGTGTGTTTTGACAACGCGAATTGGCTCTAACGCGATTTATGAATAGAGGAACGATATTTGTATAACTCGAACGCTTGTTTGCTGTAACGCGATTTTGCTTACTATTTCTCCAATTTTGTGGTATTAACTGTGAATATGGTAAAGAAGAATATCTCCAAGAAGCGTTCTGGTGATCGCATTCCCGGTGATGATCGTAAAAGAAAGGCTATAACACTTGAAGAGAAGCTCGATGTTATCAACCTCAAAATCACCCTTCTCCCCCATCAAGTTATATTCATATTTTTTCAAGGTAAAGTATTACATTTACTGTATGATTTCATTATTAGATATGAATGTAACATTTATTTAGACTGTGCTATCCTTTGTGTTAGGCTAACTACTAAATTTTTTTCGATTTCGAGTAGTAATCTGCACCTAACCCTATTTTCTCCATAAGCCCTGCTATTTCTATTACGCGAATTTCTATAACACGATGTTTTACAAGAACACAACTATCGCGTTATAGCAGAACTGACTAAATTCAACAAATTTTTAAATTGACACTTACCTTTAGGGGTGTGTGTATGCAGAAGGCTCTGGATGATGATGCTGATGTGAATTGTAGAGTGGGAGGTGGAGAGAAGAAGTGGAGGGGGTGGAAGAAAGCGTTTTGCTGCTTGCTTGGAAGGTCACACTTTCCATGAAATGTCAGGAACCTCTGGACTGACCCAGTTCTCCACCATGAACATCCTCTGTCCTTCTTGAAGTGGAAGGCTGAGCTAGCATCATCCTCTCTCGCGCTAGCAGTGGAAGCAGAGATAGCATCTTGTTACCTCTGCCTTTTACTGAAGAAAGTGTCAATTGTGGTCTGTGGGGCATCTCTCCTCCTCACCATTAACTTATGTTTGAAGAAGGAGACCATTGAGTCCTCAACATGACACAAAGTTAGTTCAGTTTTTTCCACATGTGGGTGCTTTGAAGCCAGTTCCCTGAACTTCTCCCAGTGGTAAATCACATCTTTCAACTCTTTAGTTGACATATGGTCATCACTTTCAATTTCCTCCTCACCACTGTCAGCCTCTAACATCTCATCCAGTTGCTTCAAGTCATCAGGAGTAAGTTCCTCCTCATGAGACATCACAAGCTCTTTGACATCATCCTCTTCCACTTCAAGGCCCAATGACTGACCAATGGACACAATCTCCTGGTCCAACTCTGTTTCTTCCTCAAATCCTTCAAAATCATGGGCTACTGATGGCCACAGTGCTTTCCATGAAGAATTGAGGGATCTAGTGGAGACTTCTTGCCATGATGACACAAACAATTTTACAGCCTCCAAGATGTTGAATTGTGTCTTCCAGAACTGTTTCAGTGTTAGTTCAGGATCATTGGAAGTTGCCTGATGACACCTAAACATTTTCTTCATGTACAACTTCTTGAAGTTGCTGATCACATTCTGGTCCATTGGCTGTATGATTGATGTAGTGTTGGGAGGCATAAACAACACTTTCACAAAGTCAAATTGACACTCCAAAGTTCTGGCAAGTTCAGGGTCATGACCAGGAGCATTATCCATGAGGAGAAGAGCCTTTAAAGGGAGTTTATTGGTGGTTAGGTAGCTCTTGACAGAAGGGCAAAACACATAAACAGCCCATTCATTAAAAAGCTGTCTTGTCACCCATGCCTTACGGTTGGACTTCCAATAAACTCCAAACTTTGCTCTTACCACTTTCTGTTGCTTGAACACCCTGGGGTTTTCAGAGTGGTAGACAAGCATAGGCTTCAGTCGGAATTCCCCTGAAGCATTGGCACCAAGCAATAGAGTGAGACGGTCTTTCATGGGTTTATGCCCAGGTAAAGAGGCTTCATCTTTGGTGATGAATGTTCTTTTAGGCATCTTTTTCCAGAACAGCCCAGTTTCGTCCACATTAAACACTTGCTGTGGAAGATAATTTTCTTCTTCCATCAGTTCTTTAAATTCCACTAAATACTTTGCTGCCCCTTCCTTATCAGCACTAGCAGCTTCACCATGCCTAACAACCCTGAAAATGTCACTTCTTTTCTTAAATTTTTCGAACCAGCCTGAAGAACCAGGTTGATCTGTCTTTAAATGCTCGTAAATCTCCCTGGCTCTTTCACAAATGAATTCAGTAGAAACTGAATCACCTCTCATCTGTTTTTCCCTAATCCAGATGAGAAGTAACCTCCCAGTTTCTGCAATTAGGGATCTACTTTTAAACACTCTGGTAAATTTGTCTCTCACTTTCACTACTTTAAATTTGTCTTTCTGTGCAAGAATTGTTGACACAGTTGATGTCAACATGCCATATTCTTTGCATTTATTTATAATTTTCACTTCCGTTTGGATTGAAATCACTTTTCTTGATCTCTTAGGCCCCATGCTGGATTCAAACAATGTCAACACGTGATTTTTAAAGTTAAACTAGCTGTAAATAAAGAATATTTTCTTTAAATGTGTGTGGCACTGAAACTGGTTTCTTTCGCGTTCTCATTTCTTCTCATTTACGCGGTACCTTGCCAGAACCGGACTTTCACTTTCCGCGGTGCATCTACTCATATACGCGTGAAGTATAATTTTTATTTTTTTTTTATTTAGCTCATAAAATTCATACAAATTACCCGGCCAGAATATAATTTACATTGCTGGAATTCTTACAATATGATGATCATTTTGAATATACAGTAAACATCATGGATTTTGCATTAGACATACAAATTTTAGATCTAATGTAATAATTTGGTTTACACAAAGCAAATATTTTATCTTTTGTGCAAAATATATGAAGTTTACATTCAAAATATTCCCTAACCTGCAACGAATCCAGAAATGTCAATTATATTATCCTAACTTTGGTCTGAGGTATTATTTATTACTATACGTTAAAATCTAGTGTTTTCACCCAAAGATTTCTCAGAGAGGTAGGAGCCAGTGAGCTGGGAAGAGGGGTGGGGGGGGAGTTGAGTCCATTATTTGAATGGACATTAACCTGGCGACTGTATTTCTCTTAAATATTAATTGTGTGTGCATACCATCATAAAATTAAGATGTTATTTTTACTACAACATAGGTATTGTGTCAGAAAAAGTGGAGTTTGGGGGTCGGGCCAGTCTCTATTGGAATTAATCCCATATGTTCTGTTGTTCACTTTAAGCGGTTTTCACTTTCCGCAGTACCCCGTGGGTTCAATTGACCGCGTAAATCGGGGTACTACTGTATTTGTCAATATGTAAAATATATTTCAAAATGACCAATAATTTGCTTGGAAACACAGAAAAAAAAGCGTTTAGTTGAAGAGAGTCTCAAGCAAGATGTTACCTCCAGTGAAAACAGAGAGAGACTAATGCCTGTTTGCTGTGTTAAGAGGCTGGATGCCGTGCATTAAACTAGTCACTTTACCTTCAATTATGTTCAATGATTGTTAAAATGACTAAAAAATTGAATATTAAACTTTTAAAATTATTGAATAGTATAAACTTCTTGATATTTACTAAAATAGTAAGGAATTTAAGCCCTAGAACCTATTAATGTATTGGCGGACTAATACTACAGCTGGTTGACCGCCCAGTGCAAGCCAAAACTTGTCGAGGTCGGCTCGTAAGAAACTCGTTAACCCGAGGGGTTGCTCGTTAACCGAATTTAAGAATCTTATGGGAGGTAACTCGTTAACGAAATCGTTAACGAGGATCACTGTACCTCAATATTTCCACCTGCTCCTATCTTTCCCATATGTAAAATTTGTGTTCCGCGAGAACATGATGGTATTTCATTCTTTCATATTTCTCATATACAGTATTACCCCGCCTAACGCGGTTTCACTTAACGCGTTTTATCATATACGCGGTGCCTCGCCAGAGCTGAACTTTCTCTTAACACGGATTTTTTCCACATATATGCGGTGAGTGTCCGGCTGGAGACGCTATTTTTAGATTTGCCCCCACCGCCACCACTGCCTGACTGCCTGTTTTAGCTCATAAAATTCATACAAATTACCCGGCCAGAATATAATTTACATTGCTGGAATTCTTATAATTTGGTGATGTTTTGAATATAAACATCATATATTTTGCATTAGACATACAAATTTTAGATAAAATGTTTTCTCTGAGTAAATATGTTATCTTTTGTGCAAAATATATGACATTTATATTCAAAATATTCCTGGTCTTACAAGGAATCCAGCAATGTCAATTATATTATCCTAACTTTAGTTTGAGGTATTATATATTACTAAAAAGTTAAATATTCTGGTTTTCCCACACATCTCCTTGGGACGGTTGGTGGGGGGTGGGGGGGAGGGAGGGACC